GTTAAAAGGACGACAGACGTGGAATCACATGACCGGAGAGCTCGCCCACGGGCGCCCGGCAGAGACGGGACGGGCCCAGCGCCCTTCACTGTGGGGTGGAGGCGGGGAGGGCAGGGCACCCGAGCGGAACACGGGGGCTTCCGTGGGGACAGCGCCTCTCCACGCCCCCACCCTGGGATGAGCTAGGGGAAGAAGAGGGGTTTCTAACAGTCACGTTCTCGATGGGAGGGTGGGGCTGAACTGTGTCCCCAGAAAGATGCCCTGGAGTCCTCACTCCCAGCGCCACGTGTGACCTCGCTGGGCGAGGGGCCTCCACGGAGGCAAGGGAGTCACCATGAGGTTGTTGGGTGGCCCGCCCGACAGGAGTGGTCCTTGGACAGGGGACTGGACACAGGTACAGGGAGAGGGAAAGTGGAGTCTGCCGCCCGCACGCCGGCCCTCACAGCCCCGGAGGAACCAGCCTGCTCACGGCTGGGCCTCGACGTCAGGCCCCAGGACGGGAGGCGACACGTCCCCACGGTTCGAGCTGCTGGTGTGTGGTGCACATGCGCAGCCCCAGCAAAGACACGCGGCGCTGGCCCCGCCCTCGGTGACCTGGGCAGCAGCTGGGGCCCCGGCCAGCCGGGCTGGGGGGTCGTCCGGTGGATGTGGTCTGCCTGCCGGAGCCACCGACGCCACGCGTGGCGGAGCCGCTGGAAGGCAGAGCTCACGGCCTTCTCGATTTCGAAGTCCGTGTGGGCCAGTTTAGGGGCGAGGACAGGCCTCGAGCTGGGCCACCTGCAGGGGAGCCTGACGCCGCCTCATCACTCTGCTCTCTGGTCTGTTTCCCCCCTGGGGACTGCGTCTGCCTCACCGGCACGAGGTCGAGCGCCGCCCCGGCTGAGGGACCGGGGGAGACGCTGCCCCTCGTGCTGCTTCCAGGAAGCTGAGGGGCCGCACACTTCCCCGAACGTGTCTGCTCCTGGGCCGCTCCCTGTCTCCGGCCGGAGAACCGAGGGTTTCTGGGAGACCCTGCCTCGGAGGCTCTGGGCCCTGCTTCGGACACCTGGCCAGGGACAGGGCTGGCGCGGGGTTGAGGGGTCCTCCGTGTCTCACGGGGACGCCGTCGGGCCCCAGACAGACCCCGGTGGCCCGGGGAGGGAAGCCCGTCTGACGTGTGTCTACAAAGAGGCAGTAAGAGGGGGGTAAAGGGCGGGGTGGGGGTGCAGACTTTACTTATTTCACCTACGAGGCTGTTGACTCTGATGCTGACTGGAAAGGGAGTTTGTCGCTATAGCAACGGCCAAGGCCCACGGCGCCCGTCCTGCCCGCCAGTCGCGGAGAAGCCACCAGGGGCACGTGGGCCCCGGGGCGCTGTCCTTCGCAGAGGTCCAGGAGGAGGCTCGTTTCAGAACAAGCTCACCTTCGCCGACCTGTCGGGGGCTGTTCATTGTACCCACGGTTTTCTGTGCGATTTTCTTCACTTTGGCGAAAGGAAAACAGAATCACGCCTGTCCAGCGGTCAGAGGTGACCCTGAGGGGTGGCCCGAGGGCTGTCCAGTGGCCCCGACCTTCCCTCCCCAGTACTTCGGGGAGGCAGCAGGCGACGTGGGACCCCCGGGGCGGCTGCTGTGGATATTCCAACAGCTTCATGCAGAGTCGCCTCTTCAACAACCAGCCAGCGGCTCCCCTCACGGGCACTCTTTGCATTTAGGAGAAAAAAGTTCCATTTTTTTCTGTCAAGAAATGCAGACTAGAAGGAACAGGTGACCGGCACAGAGGACCGCGACGGGGCAGCGGGTCCGTCTGGCATGGCCACGCCCACTGCAGGTGCCACCCATTCCCCAAACTGCGGGCCATCGGGGTGCGTCTAACGCGCCTGCTCCCGCACAGTGGTCCTGTGGTTTCCCGGGGGAGCCAGGGGGCGGTGACGCTGGTGTCCTGGGGCTGCACCAGGGGTGGGACGTGAGGGCCTGGGTGCTGCCCGCTGAGGCGTCCGTCCTGAGCCCCTTTTCTAAAGGTCACTGATGACGTAACAACAGAGGTTTCAGTGAGCAGTGAGACCAGGTCCTGACTGGGGGCGGAAGGAGACGGGCGGGGGCACTGGACACGGGGACACAGACTCCGTTTTTTAAAAGTTTTGCCATGAGGGGAACGGAACTGCTGGGGGTGAGGGGACGATGGGCAGAGGCTGGGGCCTTCTTGCAGGAGGAGGACCAGGGCACAGCTGGATGCGGACAGGGGCAGACAGGTGCAGGAGGAGAAGGGCAGGGCAGGGGGAGACTGGACCCCTGGGGCACCGCCTCTGGCAGTGGGGACCACACCGGGCCCCCCGCACCGGGGAAGCAGAGCGAGGCTAAACCCAGGCCACGCCGTCTGCCCAGGTCCACCTCCTCCTGCCTGAACGGGGCAGAGGCTCCGATCACGAGATGGATCCATGGAGACATAGAGGGTCCAGGAGGCATCAGGGGAAACTGCTCAGAAATCCCCACAGAAACCCACACCTCACGGCAGCGCTCGGCGGTCGCAGGGCACACAGACCCACGAGAAGCAGCACCCCCACGAGGCGGTCGGCAGGTGGGAAAGAGGTGTCGCTTAGACCGGATATTAGGGGCAGGGACGAAGCCTGACGGGGCCCCGAACACGAGTAGTCGGAGGGGACTGAACAGGTAGAAGAAAGTGTCCAAACCGTAACGACTGTGCAGGGCAGAGGGTCGGACCTGCAGGTCGAGGAACCGAACTTCTGGAAGGGACAGAGCAACGGCCGGGTGGCGTGTGCGTTTCACAGCCCCTTGGACACAGCGCGGCAGGCGGTAAAGATGCGGCCCCGGCAGCAGGTGGGGAAGAGGGTCCATGCCAGCGAGTGGGAGGGTAACCACGGCAACAGTGACGGCAGCGAGCGTTGATCGAGAGCCTGCTGCACCGGGCGTTCGTCATCTCTTATCTCAAAAAACCTGCGCCAATGCCAGGTGGGCGCTGTGACTCCCCCTCTGACGACAGGGAAACCGAGTCGGGGTGAGGACGGAGTGGCTGGGAGAGAGGCCGTGCTCAGGGGACAGACAGCAACCTTGAGAACGAAAAGAGGGGTCGAGACAGCGGAGCCACCAGACCTGAACGAGGTTGATGACCGGACCCCTGACGGATGGGCAGCCGCTGGGGTCGCAGGTGCCAGAGGAGGGCCTGGGCGCGGGGCGGGGGACGGAGTGGGCACTTCTACCCAGAGCAGGACTGGTCGAGCCGCTGGGAGACGCAGGAGATGGCCCTGGTGTTTCTCTCGGGGGGTAGGGGGCTGCCCCAGGCTCAGGAGCTGAGCAGAGGGCCTGGGGTCCCTGTGGACGCCGTGCTGAGCACAGCTGGCCAGCGGGCTGGACTGCGGCGTCAGATCCTCCCTAGTGTCCCCGACAAGCCAGAGAGCACGTTCCCACCGGGCGAGGCCCCAGGTGCACGCGCCACACTGAGGCCCCTCACCCATCGCCAGTCCCGCCCCCTCCAGCGCGGCCTCATGTCCGCAGGACACTCCCCAGGCCCGGGGGCAGGAGGGCTCGCAGCCTCAGCTGTCTCTGGTCACACCCGTGGCTTCGACCACGACCACCGGACATCGACGACACCCGTCTGCAGAAACACCCTTCCACAGGTGCAGGTGGGCCACCGTCCGCGCCCTTGGCTGCTGGAGCGACCGCCTGTTAGGGCGGGGACAGCCCAGGATGGCCTCACCGCGGACGCTTCTGAATCCAGCCGAGCAGCTGGCGCCTCGCGGTGCCCCCAGCACCCCCCCAGGGCTGTCGGTCCTGCCGTCCCGCGTCCCAGGAACACGGGTGCACGCAGCCCTGTGCTTCCTGCGTGAGCCGCCCCCGCGCCTGCTCTGGGTGGGCACGGGGCCGCTGCCGGGAAGAGGGCCAGTCCCACAGGCTCGTGTCGAGAGCAGGTCTCGACTGCAGGAGAGATTCCCCCAAGAAGGCGGCGGATCTCTAGGTGGCGGCAGGGAGGACACCTCTGCCATCAGCAAGTCCTCCTCCCAGCGAGCCGCCAGACGGTCAATTACCTGCGATGGTGAGGGCCCTGGAGTCTGCAATCGCTGATGCGAGGGCACAGAGGGGGCTGGGCCTCGCCTACTCAGAGCTGGCACACCCCCCGAGGGCACACACCCTCCTGGTGACACACACCCTCCTGAGAGGCCACAGACGTGACGACACACCTTCCTGAGGGGACACACCGCCTGAGGCGCACTCATGATGACACACAAACTTCTGATGACACCCTCTCTTGAGACGCACTGTCCCAAGGGACATACCCTCCTGAGGACACACCCTCCTGAGAGGGCACACTCATGATGACACACCCTCCTGAGAGAGGCCGCCTGCTGCTCCACAAGCAGCCCCTCCAACTGCCCGGAGTGGGGCCGCCAGCTTCTGGGAGCTGAGTGCCCGCAGCTGTGATTGCCGACGGGCTGTCGGGTCAAGTGCCCCTCCTGACACCCACACCGCAATGCCTGGACTGACCGCTGTCGGACAGACTTAATCCCGTGGAGGAGCCTTCATTCCCTTCCATCGCCGTCCCCCCAGCACATCCACACCTCACTGAGAAGTACGCCCCCTGTGCCCCAGAGGGGAGGACCACTCCTCGGCTGCCCACGTCCAACACGTAACCACGAAACTGGAGACATCGCATCACCTGACGGCTGCACTGTCTTTCTCTTCCACGACCGCTTTTCCCGTGATTTCAAAGACAACCAAACACCAGGTCAACATGTCCAGGTGCCGGCATCGGCACTGCAACCATTGGTGACCAACCTGGCCTCGCCAGCTGGCCCCAAGTCACGGAGCAGTACTGGACCGCCCACACGGACAGACCCCGCCGGCCCAGCGGCCTCCGCGCACAGACCCCGCCGGCCCAGAGGGCCTCCACGGGCACAGACCCCGCCGGCCCAGCGGCCTCCGCGCACAGACCCCGCCGGCCCAGCGGCCTCCGCGCACAGACCCCGCCGGGCGACGTGTCTCTGAGAGCAGCCCCTCCTTACTCACCGACCCCACTCCGGCTTGGAGAATTTTCAGCCCGGATGCTCTCTGCAGGTCGTCCTTGTTGTCGACTGTTGAGAGAATTGAGAAAGCACAGGGTCAGCGTGGGGAGCGGAGGGGTCTCGACACCCTGGCGCCTTCCTCCCCTCAGAGCGCCAACGGAATCCCAGCTGCACAGCGGCGCTGTGAAGGAGCCAGGAGAGGAGACCCCAGGCCCGGCTGCTTCCTGCTGGGAGCTGAGGCAGATGCACCCCACCGGCAGGAGGTTCACAGAACTGTCGGGGAGACACTGCAGGCAGACGGCTGCGGGTCTCCCCGGAGAGCGAAAGGACGATGGTCAACCACGCACTCGTGGGAGATACGTCCATCACCTTCCCTCCCAGGAGGCAGGAGGGGTGCGTCTCCGTCCTGTTCGGCTGCCTGCCTTACTCCCTCGTGTCCCCACAGGAAATACTCTCATAATTTAGCTCCGAGGCAAACCGCGCCCTCGTTTGCTTCTGAGGGGTCAACCCCACCTTAGACTGAGGATGAGGAGCTCTGGACCACGGGCCCAGGTCCCCGAAGACCCCGCCACCCCGAGCTCACCCCGCAAACCCGCCGCCCACTTTGGGAGGAAGGTGTCCCCAGGCAATGGACCTTGGCCACAGATCTGAGGAACAGTCCTCGGGTGACGCTCCTGTCATTTTGGAATTGAAAACAGAAAACGCAGAATTTATTTCAGACCTGAACGAAGTCTCTGCACTGGTGGCCCATGCGGAAGGGGAGGGTGCAGCCACGCCCACCGTGGGCAATGCCGGGGCCTTGGGTGCGGAGGAGGAGGAGGGACCCCGCCCACCCCAGGGCCCCCCCACCCCCCGCGGGGCCTCCAGTCTTGGGAAGGTTTACCCCTCGGAAAGAATGGACGCATTTTTCACCTTTGGTTAGTGCCCGTCACTGAGAGGAGGAGGCCCACACAGCCCCTTTGGTTACAGCAGTGGAACCCCCAGACACCCGGCGCTTCGGAGTGGGGGGCCAGGGCCACGGTGGAGCCCCCGGAATGGAGAGAACGCTCCTCGTTCTGCGGCGAACACAGGCACTTTACCGAACAGCTGCCTTTGGAGGTTGAGAGCAAACTCCAGTGGGCGGAGGAACAGAAAGCACAGAAAAGTGGAATTTTAAAAACACTCCATCTACTGCTCCAGAGCAGCGACGGGTCTGTGGGCCCAGGGCTTGGGCGGCGGCCCGACACGAGGTCAGCAGACTCCTGTGCGGGGTGGGTAGAGGGTCGGCTTGCCCGCAGCGTGAGGACCTCAGGACGAAGCACAGGGGACAGCGAGTGACCGGGCTGTGTGTCTGCTGGGTGAGGCCCAGACTCCTCAGCAGTGCCCCCAAACGCATCCCCCGTGCCTCCCACAAACATGCCTGGCCTGGCCAGCCAGCCCCCACGGTCCAGGCTGGTCTCCTTGCCCCCCCAAAAGCATACCAACGACCTTCTCAGGTCGATGATCTGAGCAGGAGGGTGGCCCTGACCGGGGTCAGACTTTCTCCTGCAGCAGAGTCCGGTCTCGGTCAAGGCCCAGCTGCGGCGGAGCCTCCTCCTGCCGGCCTCTCCGGAGCCCCTTCACAGCGCCTCCCTGCAGGACTCGACAAACCGTGTCTCCTGGACCCTTCGAATCAGAACAAGGGTCTCCCTGCCGTCGCTCAGCGGCAGCTACTTTCTGGGAGAGCATCACCCCCTCCGTCCCTCCCTCCCCCCCTCAGTGCTCTGTGTGCCAGGCTGGGATGAGTGGTGGATGCCATGAGCCGGCTGAGCTGACGTCCAGCAGGGGGCTACGGAGGGGACATGGAGGGTGGACGTGGCTGGAGGGGTGTGTCCACGTCACTGCAGAGGCGGCGTAGCCAGCGTCAGCACAGAGGGACCACCGCCGCTCAGGGTCCAGGGAAGCCCTCCAGGGAGGCGCCTGTCCCGCAGGTGTGAGAGGCTGGACAGGGCAGGTGGTGGACATCACGGTGATCCATCCACCACGTCAGGTCTGTCCTTCCATCCAGAGTCTAGCCCAGAACGCAGGCTGCTAGCCACCCTCCACAGGCAGCCCCGTATCTCCTCCAGGTAACCACACACGCGCGCACAGCCAGGGCAGACCACCGAGCCCTCTGGTCCATCTACTCCCCGCACAGGGCTTTGCACAGGTTTCCACAAGGATGTCAGGAGCGGGCGGGCATTGGGCTGAGGCAGCCCCAGGCCTGGTCCCCCCGGCTCAGACGGGAGTGGGGACCATTTGCAAAGACGCTTACAGAGAGCCTTCCTGGGCCCGAGGGCACCTTCTGTTTCATAGAACTCATCCAGAAATGGGCCAGGCACCCACAACCAGCTCTGGGGGCACCTCGTCAGGTTAAAGAAACGGCTGCCACCCCGAAAGCCCCTGTGCCCAGGGAGGCCTCAGGGAGCGGGCTCCCCGAGAACCAGGTGCGGAGACCCTGTCTCCCGGCTCTTCCCCGAGGGTGTGCCCTGGAGAGGCCGGAGGGCTTCTGGGGCCATCAGCACCCCAGCAGCTGTGGGCTCAGACTGGCGGCTGCGCGGCCCCGTCCCAGCCTCAGCCCCCGCAGCGCGCTCTGGCCTCTGCCCGCGTAGACCTCCGCTTCCCGAAACGCCACACGGGCGGCAGAGGCAAAGGCAGGAGCGTGTGGAAGTCAGTTTACCCTGCGCACGGTGCCTCGTCGTCGGCAGACGTTGGTGACCTCGGCCCATCCGACGTCCTTCCCCAGGGGACTCAAGGTGGTTCTTACACATCCGCCCGCAGCGTTGCCTTTGAGAGCCCTCCCCAGCCACAGGGACTTGTTTCTGCAAACCCTCTGGTGGGTGGAATGGGACACCCACCTTCTCCCACAGACGTGTCCCCTGCGACGTGACCCTCCCTCGGGGGCGGGGACCCACCTCCTGGGCGCCTGCTCCCCGTGTCCCCTGCAGACACGCCTGCTGTCCCGAGAGGCGGGGCGGAGGCTCACATCGCCCCTGGGTGGCCCTGCAGTGACAGTGGCGGTCTCTGCCGAGGCCTTTCTGGAGAAAGGTGACCTCTGCCTCCACAGCCCTGGGGGCAAGGTCGGCTCAGAGTGATTGCCAGGGCCGAGCGCAGAGTCTGAGCTGGGGTGTGAGCTGGCCAGCCGGCGGGCGCGGAGGTGGGGACGCTGCTGGATGACAATGCGCGCGGCCCATTTCCATCTTCGCGGAGACAAAAGGGTTTCCGAACACTCACGAGAAGTCCTTTAGAGTAAATCCGCGAGATGAAGGATATGCAAATCACCCGGAGAAGCGTGGCCCTACCACGTCCTCAGAATTCTGCAACCGTCCATTTAATTAACGTTTTAATTTATCAGAATCCTTCTCTGCACTTGACAATCTATGCAGCCTTCCCTGCAATTAAGCACGTCGCTGTGGTGGAGTGACCCTGCCCTCTCTATCCCCGCCGTCCCCGGAAGTGCCTACGCGGCAGCGGGCACTGCTGAGGGCAGACGCAGGGGGCAGGAGGGGCCAGGAGGGGCACGCGGCTCCTTCCAGACCCGAGGGGAGGCAGAGCCCGGTGCTGGCGGAGCTGAAACCATCTGCTGGCGCAGATCAGATCCACACGTATTTCCACCACAAACACGCATCCTTTCTGCCCTGTCCTCACCCCTAGAGATGCCGGGGGGGATGCAGCGAGCTGTCTGATCACGAGAGGACCTCCAACGGCCCCATGGCCCCCTGCAAGGGGTCAGCCTCGCTGACCGGGGCACGGCCCCGTCTGGACGCCCAGCTCGCTGTGGGAGCCTGCCTCGTCGATGGGCCCTTCCTTCGCGGCTGATTTCTCTGTGGCCCACACGTGATGCTGTCTAACAGCACTTTACCCACCGGATCGTCTTTCAAAACTGGACTCCGTCCTGTCAAGGCCCGCTGACCTTCATCAGCGAAGTCCACGCGACATCCTGCGTCTCTGCTGTCATTTCTATAGTCTCACTGCACCTTGGCCGGGAGGAGATGCCATCTCAAGATACCCCTTTCTCTGCCCATCCCTGAGGCAGCCCCGTCGGGGAGAGAGCTCTCTCGGGCCCGCGGGTCAGTCCCCTTGAGCCCAGTTCTCCCGCTGTTCCCCCACCTGCAGTGACTCCGTCCACCAGTCCTGGCTCCCGTGGCATCCGCTAGGCCGGACACAAGCCCGTGCCTGCCGTTTTCTGCCCACTACTCCTGCATCTCCATCGTCCTTATGGGGCGATTTTCTTTGTGGCACATCTTTTAGAATCAACTTCCATGAGGATCTATTGGTGACAAGCTCATTTTGGGGAAAAGTATCTTTATTCAACTCTTTCTTGCTTTTTTGAGCCCTCAGTCCTTAAAGGCATTTTCTCTCGGGACAATTCTAGGTGCACGACTATCCCCCCTCAGTGATATGAAGACATTTCTCTCCAGTCTCTGGTTTCGTTTTGGCTGCTGGGGATCAGCCTCGAGTCACATTCTCATTCGTTCTGGGCGGCTTTCAGAGTCTCTGTCTGTGGGATGTTCGCAGTCCCTCTGCGGTGAATCTCTGTGCACAACTGTTTTCATTCCAGTAGATGCACCGCATCTGAGAACTGGTATCTTCCATCGGGGACACACACGTTTTAGCTGCTGTGTCTTCAAATATTGCTTTTCCCTCCTGGGACTCCTATTAAATGTGTATAAGACGGTCTTACCTTGTTCCCTAAGATTCCTTCCTTTTTAAACTCATACGTTTCTCTCTCTCTCTAGGCTGCGGTCTGGGTAATTTCTCCAGCTCCCTCTTTCAGTTCACTAATTCCTTCTTCAACTAGATCTAATCTGCCTTTACACTCAGAAAGCTTCAATTTTCTATTATAGCTTTCATTTTACAAATTCTACTGTGTTAAGTGTCTCGGTCATTTTCAAGGCTCTCAATCTTTGGGTGCTATTTTACCCCCTCCTGTGTCCCTTCAAACATACAAAATACCAGGTCTACTGGTCCTGCCACCGAGGTGTATTTTGTCCATTCTCCTGGCCACCCCGCTCGTAGCGCCTCGCTCCCCAGCACGTTCGGAGACAGTCTGCTGTAAATACCCTTTCCTG